CCCTTCCACCCACTTTAAAACCTTGATAAATTATAAATTATTATTATTTTCATATCTTACAATGTCTGCTGTTTCCCTTCACCCGTGTTTCTGTTGTTCCGTTGTTTGTCTCCCTTGCAGAAGGGGTGTGTGTTTAAATGTTGATCATTGTGATCAGTTCCCCCTTTCTCTCCCTTCTCCCCTCACCTACTTCCTACCCTCATAATATTCCTATTCCATTTATTGTTCCTGAAGGGTTTATCTGTCCTGACAGTCTTTCTTTTTTAAAAAACGGTGTATCTTTTAACTTTTATTGTAATTAGATGAAAATCTGCAGAGGAAATCTGTTTTTCATTCAATAATTCATAGACATTTGTTTCATATCATTGAACACAATCCTCATGATGTAATATCACTTATCCTACTCTCCTCCTTTTCCAACCTTTCCTACCTTCTGAACTTTGTCCTTGAGTAAATGCTCCCTTGTTGATATCAAATTGATGATTATTCTAAATGTGTTTGCTTTCCTAGTATCCTTGTTAACCTTATAGACCTGTCTATCATGTAGCTGATAATTGATTCATGGAGGTGAGTTCCGTTCCAGACCCGAAAGTGACTAAAGGCCATAGTCGAAGGGGCTCCACTAGTCTCTGACGAGTAAGCCAGTTCTTTTTAGGGTTTTGAGGCTTTGTTTTTCACATTTCTCTCCAAGACCTACTACTATTAACCCTTACAAGGCCTTTGGTAGTGGTAGCGGGGCACCATTTAATTCTTCTGGTCTCAGAGTCATGGGGGCTGATGTTGGTGTTGGTCCTATAGTCCATTGAATAAATTGTTTCCTTTTTAAAAACAGATTTATTGGCACTTCATACACATGTCATACAATCCACTCATTCAACCACATCAAGATTTGTACAATCATTACCACAAGAACAAATTGTGGTGTTCTATTTAATTTAATCCTTTTCTATTTAATTCTTTCCCCCCATTTCAGATGAGGAGAACTCAATAATTGTACCTTACATGACCACTCTTGAGTGTTTTAGATGCCATTCTCTACCCACCAAAGTAGAACATAGAACACTGTCTTTGCGTACTGCATTGTTCTAATTGTCCTTGGTCACAATGTTTCTTATTGCAATCGACTTAAAGTAAATTTCCTGATTCTTCCCATTAAAATCTACCTAAATGTACGCTTAAGGTAACTTCTTTAGATGTAATCTATTCTGTTCTGAATCCTCAAATGATTTTTCATCACATTTCTTGGAGAAGCCAAATTGTACGTAATAACCTACACAATTTTCCCCACAACTGGCTATTTCTTTTCCAACGTTCTACTTCACGTCCTCTTGGTCACTGTGCTTCAGTCATACTGGCATTGTTGCCTACTTCCCAAAACCATCCCAAAAGGTAGAATATGTTGGAGAGAAGGAGGTCCAAGCTGAAATGACCAAAACAGAATAAGACTTCAAGAATTAATGGAGTACTAACTGAAATGTTTATCCAATCTGATGTATTGCTAGAAGTACTCACTCTTCCAAGCCAAAAATAATTGGAAGACAGCTAACTGACCAACCCACTGGAAGAGATCCATATTTGTACCCATTCCAAAGAGAGGTGACCCAAAAGAATGTAGAATTTATTGAATAATATTATGTGGATTATAATAAACTATGAATAACAGAAATAATAGCAATTCTAGAACACTTAATTGTGCTCATGAGGAAACTATGCATAACCAATTCAATACCAAACTCACTGCCATCCAGTAAATTTGGACTCATAGCTATGCTACGGACAGAACAGAGCTGACCCCTGTGGACTCCCAAGGCTGTCAAACATTATAGGAGCAGAAAGGCTCATCTTGTCCCTGGAGTACCTGGTGAATTCAAGCTCCAATCTTCTGGTTAGCAACTCAACACAAACCCACGACCCCACAAGACTGCTCGTACATAGACCAAGAGGTGGTTATTTGAATACAGTAAGGGGGTCGATGTGGTTTAAAATCAGGAGAAGTATATATTGGAGTTGTATTCTTTCACTATGCTTGATCAATTCCTATATTATTAGAAACTGGACTATGTGAAGAAGAATTTGGCATCAGGATTGGAGGAGGGGGTCACTAACCTGTGATAGGCAGATAAACAAAACTTTTCTTTTTGAAAGCCAAGAGGACTTGAAGCCCCTACTGATGAAGGTGAAATAATTCTACCTTCCCCACGAATTACAACTCAATATAGAGGAAACAAATCCTAATCTCCTGCAAGAACCTTCTTTAAAATTTTAGAAAAGTAAAAATGCATTAACTTCATGTGAAGTCTGGGCAATTGTAAGGGAGACAGAAGAATGAATGCATTTGAATTATGGTGTTGGAGAAGAATATTGAACACCAAACATCTGTTCTGAAAGGATGGCCTGAATCCTTAGAAGTAAGGATGGTGAGACTCTGTCTCATGTACTTTGGACATGACATCATGAGGCACCAATTCCTGAAAAATGACAATATGCTTGGTCAGCATAAAAGAGGAAAATCTTCAAAAGGCTAGATTGACACCTTGGCTGCAGTAATAGGCTGAAACTTAACAGCTGTGAGGTTAGCACAGAACCAGTGTTTCCTTCTGCTGTGCAGTTTGTTTATGAGCTGGGACTGACTGGACGACACGTAGCAACAGCAACAGCAAACTTTTGTGTGCCAGGTGATTTTCCGGAACATTCCTTGTCTTTGCTTCTCTGAACTCTTTTTCTAGATTCTTTAGGGCTTACTCTCTTACATCCTTTAAATCTTTGCTCAATTTACCTTCTCAATAATGCTTTCCCTGATCACTAACACACCCTCACTTTGCATCCTGCTTTTCTGCCACCTGATTATCCCGCCCCTCCCCCACCTCCAAAAGGCACTCATCTCTGGTCTCTGTTGTTTTGTTCTTCTTAGGTCTGCAGAGTCAGCACCAGCTCACAAGAGCTCTGTGTACAAGAGAAGGAAACACTACTTGATTTGGACCGTTCTCACAATTGTTAAATTTGTGCCTATGGTTGCTTCCACTGTATCAATCCCTCTCATTGAGGATCTTCCGCTTTTCCATTATGCACTTTACCGAGCATAATGTTCTTTTCCAAGAACTGGCCTTTCCAGAGAACATTTCCAAAGCCCATGAGATGAAGTCCCAACAGCCTGGTTTCTAAGGAGCGTTCTGGCTGTGCTTCCTTCAGACGTGTGTTTGTTTGGCAGTCCACAATACTTTCAATATTCTTTCCCAATATCACTGTTCAAATGCATCAGTTCTTCTACATTCTTACTTATTCACTGTCCAGCTTTCACATACATATGAAGTAAATAAATTTACTTGGGTAGATGTAGTCATTTCCATGATTATAATCAGAGGAGTAAAAAAGATGAATCCAGACACATGTGGATTAGAGGGAGCTTTGTCCAGTGTTACTCTCTGATGACTGTTTTTCAACTAAATATCAGAAATTATAAGGTGAGAATTAGGAGAGAGTGGGCAGCCCCATCCAAGGCCGTTGACCAAATCTGACTCATAGAGACATTATTAGAGAGTGAAACTGCCTCCATGAGTTTCAGAGACTGTAAGTCTTTGTGGTTAGCAGAAGGCCTTCACCTGTCTTCCGAAGTGTGCTGACATTGGGGTTAGCAGTTCAATGCGTATTGCCACCAGGACTCTTTAGGGTAGACAGCCAAATCTAAAAATCCACTGCCATCGAGTTGATCCTGCCTCATAGTGCACATGCATATAGCTCAGTGCAGAACTGCCCCCTTGGAGTTTCAAAGGTGTGAATCTTTACGGAAGCAGACAGCTTCATGTTTCCCCCACTGAGCTGCTGGTGGATTCCAACAGCCTTGCAGTTAGTAGCTCAAAGAGAAGCCCACTATGCAGGAGCACTGCTCCAAACACAACTGTAAACTGGAGTCGATTTCGACTCATAGCGACCCCCTAGGGGAGAGGAGAACTGTCCCTGTGGGTTTCTCCAAGGCTGCTGGTAAGTGTAAAACAAGAGCCAAAGAGAGAGACCCTATGTCTTATCCTTTCTCTCCTCATATTTCCAAGTTTTCTTCTCCATGATTGTCTTTTCACGCTTCACATCCTAAATTCGTTAGAATAAGTGATTTTTGAGTAAACACTAAAAAGCTTCTCCTTCCAATGCACCTGCTTCTTTTAATTTCTTGCACTCAATTTATACCAACATTTTCAAAATAGTAGGTTGCTTTGAGCTGCTAACTGCAAGGTCATCAGTTTGAAACCACCAGCCACTCTTGAGGAGAAAGATGAAATGATATAGTCCCGTGAGAGCTTTGGTGGCACTTTCGGATAACGTTGGAGGGGTAACCACTTGAACAGCTGTTCTAAACCACCAGCTGATCACCAGGAGAAAGATGAGGCTTTCTAATTCTGTGAAGATTTACTGTCTCAGAAATCCCCAAGCACAATCATGCTGCCATATAGGGTTGCTACGAATTGGAATCCACTCGAGGGCAGTGTTTGAGTTTGATCTACCCTGGAGAGTCTTACAAGCTCGCAAACCCACAAGGGACAGTCTTACTCCATCCAACAGAGTCGTTGGCAGTGAGTTTAGAGTTGCAAGAACATTAGAGAATAGATATTAGTATACTGGCAGACTAGTATCACTGATAGCAAGAACATCTATTTTGTTATTTCAGAATATGACAAATGCTTTTACAAAAGTTTGAAAGTCGCCTGTTCTATACAGCCAGGCGTTTACCCCCGTCCCCCGTTTAACTTGTTTAATCTGAAACGTTTAGTGCTTACTTAATTTTACTCGTTTTTTCTCCACTTCACTCTAGCAAGTAATTGAGCATGCTCAGTAGTAGCAAGCTACTCGAAGGTGGGGTTTTAGAGACAATTCTCAACAGCCTCAGATAAAAGCCAATCTGCAGCCACTTTGCGGATGATTGATAGTCTGCAGGCAGAAAATTCGGGTCTGGATTGGACAATCTTAGTGATGTGGGCGGGACTAGAGAAGTGGAATCCCGGAAGCGACTGGGTCTATGAACTTGCCCTCGGGATGGTGTATCAGGAGCTAAAACGGGGGCAGACTAAGGCGTCGGCCCACCGCTGGAGCCATGTCCGACTTGAAGAAGCAAGGTAAGAGAAGCTCTCTCACTAGTGAGCGAGGCCTGGGTGTGTCTGCGGCCGAGGCCACCGGAACGCCGAGGTGGCCGCTGCTGGAGGCTCCGCCCGCGGCGACTCTCTGGCCCAAGTCCCCGCAGGCTCCGTGTGTTCCGGCTGTCTGGCTAGGGCTCTGGGAGCTGCTGGGACGACCACCGCCTGGCGGGGCGGGGGACGCAGGCGTGCTTTCAGAGCCCAGAGGTCCATGGCTCAACCTGGGATTTCCAAGCAAGTCTAGGGTGACAGCACCCCAAACCCACTGTCTTCGAGTTGATAGCCATTCATAGTGACACTATAGAGCACGGTAGAACAAGAATTCTTTAGATTTGCTGAGACTGTACCTTTGTGGGCGCAACAACCTCATCTGTCTCCTGGGTAGCAACTGGTGGGTTTGATCTGCTGATCTTACAGTTAGCAGCTGCTGCAAGCCTCATAAAAGAATACGGGGCAGAGCGTGAACTATTGTATGGTTTCGTTTTGCTGAGATGTATTCAATTAATATAGTGCTTTTAGCCATCATTCCTATGGAATGTATAATTCTGGCCTCTCTGTCTGTGGTTCAAATACCATTTTGGAGCCTTGGTGGCACAATGGTTGAGTTGGGCTATTCACTGCGAGGTCAGCAGTTCAAAACCACCAGGGACTCTGTGTGAGAAAGGTGAAACTTTGTACTACCACAGTTACTGTCACAGAGGCCCAAAGGGGCTGTGCTACGCTTCCATAGAGGGTGGTTATGAGTTGGAATTGAGTGGATGGTAGCGAGTTTGGTTTTGGCTTTTGGTTTTGTTTGCTATGCCCGTGGACAGGATCAAGTGTTAATGTTAGCACAAAGTGTGAATCAAGTGAAAACCTTTAGGGATAATGGCCTGCAGAAGGATAAAACCCACAACATCATCAAAGCCATTATGTATGCAAGAGCCATTTTGAAACAGAAATCCCAGCACCACTGGAAGAAGAGCATATTGCATATCTGTCTGAAGTGACGGAATCCAAGACCAGAGCCATCACAGACTGTGCCACGGAGACTATGGAGCAGAGCAAAAGAGCCAGGACAATATCAGAGGCTGAGACAGAACAGAGAAGCAGCATCTAGCCTATGAGACTGTGACACAGAGCCACAAGTGGGCTTCCTGGTCCCGGAAGCAGAGGCTAAGGTACCACCTGTTTGAGAGGCTGAGGGCTAGACAGAACCTTAGCTCTTGGCTGTGGAGAAGTATGGCTCATACCAGTGACTATATCCTTACTGCTTATTGATCTTCATTTGTGGTAACCTTTCAATTCTTCCAATAAACCCTCTTAATCCTGAGTTTGTCTGTGAGTTCTGTATGATCTTCAGCACGGATTATCAAAACCAACACAGCAGTGGGAGGAACAGCCGGTGTCAGAAAGTTCAAGAAAGATGGAGGGTGGATGCATGTCTGACCTCTGCCTCATGGCAATAGGGAAGCCATAGGAGGCCAAATAGGGCCTTCACACTGCTTTTGTAGGAAGGTACATGGCTCCTTCAGATAGTATCTTTTAATTAGGTAAGCTTTGTAGTGCCCCTGGTTTAACAAGTTTCAAGACTCGTGGATGGTGACCTGCAGGAATTTACCACTTAAAACGTGATGCTGAATACATTTTAACTTTGTTTTCTTCACTCAAAATATAAATATATGGAAAGAAAGATAACTATGAGAATATGTTCTTTATCTGAAAAATGGATATAATTATATGTTGGTAATACAGTGTTGTAACTTGCCTCACTCACTCATCATAGTGCTTATTGAAAGTTGTAGTTTTTTAATCAGAATAAAAGGTAGGATAAATTTAATTTGTTATCTTGGTAGTGCTTTAGAACTGATATGGTAGAAGAGAAGATGCACTCCCCTTTTCACGTAAACCCATACACACTATCTTTATCCTCATTATTATTCCTCTCCAGTCATTACTCAAACAAATTCATAGACACTCATGTATATAACAAAGAGCTTTATGTACAAGAGCAATTGAATATTGAGAAAACACCCTACCCCAGTCCAGATCAAGTCCATAAGTCCGATATTATCCCATATGTCCGATATTAGCCCATATGTCCCATACCAATCTATAAGGTCCTCTTCAGATGCACAAAACATGTGCAATGACACTGAATTCAGGAAGATCACAGGCCAGTGAGTTGGAAGTCTTCTGGATCCAGTGGCGTTGTAAGCATCTCAGTGCTGGCAGGGTCTCCCTATGGCGTCTCTGATTTCAGAGGTCTGGTTGCATCAGGGTAGGTTCTTGTGGCTTCTCCAGCTCCCAGGGCATAGTGCCATGTGTCTTGTCAGTAGAACATCTTCAAGGGAGTGAGCTGGGAGAAAGGATGTCTTCCCACTTCCAAGGAGGAAATACCAGAATTCTCAGGAGAAGGCCAACCCCACACAGAGGCCTTATTGGCTATGGTCCGATTGACAGACTAGACTCCATCCCTTTACTTATAATCCTTTCAAATTGACACCGGCTTATGTAACTACCACAATTATGATTATGAATAAGTGTACATCTGGGTAGTACTCTTTTACCATACCTATGTATACATATAAGCATGCTGAGCAAACAATTTGAGAAGCTGGACTCTGTGATGAAGAATGCAACATCAAGATTGGAGGTTGATTCATTAACAGTCTGCAATATGCAGATAACACAGTTTGCTTGCTGAAATTGAAAAGCAGGTAGTACTTATTGTGAAGAACAAAGACTACAGCCTTCACTGTGAATTATACCTCAACAGAAAAAAAACAAAAGCCTTCCTATCTGAGCCCATAGAAATATCATGAAAAAGGTAGAGAAGATTGAAGTTGTCAATAGTTTCATTGTACTTGGATACATGATGAACGGCCAAGTGAACAGCAGACAAGAAATGAAATGGATTGAAACTGTTGTGGTAGCAATTTCAAAATATTATTTGTTGTGCTTAAACAATGGAATGATATGATATCTGAATTAGCTCTCAATAAAATGGTCTTAAAAGTGAAATGGTATATTACATTGGATACGTCTGCTACAAAAGACTTATTTCAGTGGCCTCCTATGCATGTAAAAGTTGGATAATGCTTAAGAAAGATCAGAGAAGAATTGATGCATTTGGATTATAATATTGGGAAAGAATATTGGAAGCAATGTCAACTGCCAAAAGGAAAAGCAAATCTGTCTTGGAGGAAGCACAGCTAGAGTGCCCCTTAGAAGCCGGGAAGGCTGCTCATGTAGTCTTTGGACAGGTTCTCCAGAGCTGGTCGCTCTGGAGAAGGTATCACGTTTGGCACAGTTGAGGGTCCTTGGAAAAAAGGATGACCCTCAGTAAGATGTACTGATAAAGTGGCTGAAACAATGGGCTCAAACATAAAACAATTGTGAGGATGACACAGGGCCAGTGGTTCGTTCTGCTGTACAAAGGGTTGCCATGAGTCAGAATAGACATACAGTCAATGTGAGTTGGAACTGACTCTCTCACAGTGCATTAAATATAGCGAGTTATGATTTTAATAACTTTTAAAATGAAATTATTTAATAGATTTAAATTAGCATAATTTCTAAACAATCTGTTGTTAGGCTCCAAAAAGAACATAGAAATTCTTTTAATGAGGGCCCGAACTTCTTTTGAAAATAATCTTCCGTAAGAAATAGGATTGATTTTCTCTATTAATTAAATATTAAAGTTCTTGGGAACAGACTTACCATGGTAACTATCACAGTAATAATCTTCTGCTCTCCTATATTTTTATCTGAGGAAGCTCTTGCTATTTCATATCATATTTTCTCCTTGTTTTATAGCATACCCGACTGGTTTTCCCCACTTGCTTTTCTCGAGTTTTCTCATATCTCTGTGACTATTAAGCCCTAGAATCAAATCTTCTTTCAGGTGCAATAAATTATACTAATATGCCTATTCAACTAGTCAATTCTAAAACACCTTTTTCAACTCACAGAACTAAGATATCTTCCCTTGAAATATACTTCTGTTTCATTTTAGACATGCAACAAAGTTGTCATATAAAATTTCAGTCATTTAAAAACATTGTGGCTGGAGGAATGGATTAATTCTGACAGTATAAAAGGTTAAGTGGGAGACAAAATATTAGTTTTACGTCTCCCTTCCTAACAAGACTACCTGAAAAGTACTTCTAACATACTTCTGTGTGCACTCTATTTTAGGTCGAAAAGATGCATGAACAGTATTAACTCCTGGGTCATACTCAAAAGACTGAGTTTAACCTGCAGCTTTGACAATAAGCTACTCTATGTAACTTAAGCGAATCACATGAAGGATACCATAATTTAAGTTGTTAAAGAAGCTTCCATTACGGTTAGGGTTAGGGTTAGAAAAAAAAAAGAAGCTTCCATTCTTCTAGGAGACTGGATTAATAGACGAGGGGGCACCAACCCCCCCTCCCCCCCACAAAAACCCCAGAGTTTCCCCCCAAAGCAATTTATTCAATTTCCCCCTCAAAACAACCTTATCACCTTCAAAATACTCTCCATTACACTTAATACATTTGTAAAATCTGCGATTCCATTCTTGGAAGCATTTTTCAAACTCATCTGTTTGCATGGTTGAAAGCACCTCCCTCATTTTTTTATTCACCTCTTCTGTATTGTCAAATTACTATTCATTTATGTCCTTCTTCATTCTTGTAAACAAAATGAAGTCGAATGGAGTGAAGTAAGGTGAGTAAGGTGCACGAGGCAAGAGAGGCATGCTATTATTTGCCCAAAATTGGCACACTGAGATGGCTGCATTAGCAGGTGCATTGTCATGGTGGCAAAACCAGTCCCCCATCTGCCACAAATCAGGCTTTTTTCGTCGCCCACCATACCCCCTCATATAGTTAAATACTAAATCAAATATTTTGGCATTTACAGGCACCAGTGATGCCAAGAGCAGAGTCAGCACTTTAATCAGGAAGTATATTATGGACTGCATTAGGTTTTATCTGCTTTGCAGTCCAAATCTTCTC